AATAATCCCAGGGCAAAATTCCTTTCGTCACATTACTCCATATGTAATAGAGTCACTATAGGGCCAATTTGGTATAACACAATTTCATACAATATATATAATTAGGGCCCCCCCACTCCATCTCACCATCAGTTTGGGGATCCTTGCCTTGGAAAATGTTGAAGAACCCTGGTCTAAGAGATCAGTTATTTTTGGCTGTGCCAATACATATGATCATCAACTGGTTTAGTTTAGTTTTGTATTATGTTCTCAGCACAGGGGCCACAAGAGGGGCGAAAGCAAATTTTACAGGGACACTGGCCCCAGTTGGCCCCTGCCTAGAACCAGCTATGATGCTAAAACATTTTAGAAGTTATACAAACCAGAATTGTCTCGTCTAAAGAATTGTTCATCTATATTTGTAAATCAACAAATGTTTTGAATCTATGGATGGAAATAAAGGTTGGACACATCAGAGAAAAAAAAAAAAACCCCAAAAGTGCAGCATTACACTGCACTGGAAAAATGGAAATCTAAATAAGTCATTTTTTCTTAATATAAGTCCATTTTTTTTTTTTTTTATTATTGAGGAGGTAAGTGAAACACTTGGAATGGAAAAAGATAATTGACATTTGAAATAAAAATTCTTATTCCACTGGCAAATCATATTATTTACCTACTCGAATTAAGGGTAAATACATTCAATTTAAGAGGTGGTTACTTTTTCCTGCTGCCCTCTGGAAAGAGACTTCGAAGGATCCGATGCAGGTCCAACAGATTCCAGAACAGTTTCTTCCCCACTGCCATTAGACTGCTAAATGTTATATAAAATGGGTTATAAAAAAACTCATATGTTTACATCTTTTTTGCACTTTAAAAAATGAAAAAGTCTAGAGAGCTGTACTAAACAAAATTTATTTTTGTGTACACTTGTGTGTACAAAATGACCAAATAAAATCTGTCTAATCTAAGTGTAATCTAATCTAATGTAATCTAATCTTATTTCTAGATCATTTTTACAGTGTGGGAGGCTCTCTATCAGGGCCCCTGCTACTAAATCCTACCTCCTTTGTTTTTAATGTTTTCATTTATTATTATTTATTTGTTTTTTTAATCAGAGTTTGGATTTAAGCTTCTGATTACTTATCATCTAGCCTTGTGTCAATCACTGATGTTTTCAGGGAAGATAACCTGATTTAAATGCAGCATAATTTCATTGACAACAGTAAAAGCCGTATTTAAAAGCATGGAGTGGAAGATTCAATTACATGTTTGTATGATTCTGGAGGCAGATGGGTTCATGGCTACTTTATCAAAGTTGAAACCTGCACTGCTCGTCTTCTGTGTTTTTATCTTTGGAAGCAACCTGCAAAGTCTTGGCTGGACTTGTTAGATAAAGGTTCAGAAGGGATTGCTGTGCAGGAGTTTTTTTTTTTCCAGGCTAACACAAATAATAAAAAAAATCCTGATAGACTCCAGGCATCTCATCAAGTGAGTCCAACCTTAACATGATGACTTGATGAGATGACTGGAGTCTGGTGTGCTATAACTTGGTTGGAAAGAAAACCTGCAGCCACACGGCCCTTTCTGGAACCACTTTGACACGCTCTGCTCTACGGTGACCTTTTCTGTCCAGCCAGAACCCCAGTATGATCAGGGCAGTTTCATCCATACTGGCCGTATTATATGGCTAAAGTTATTTACAAGGTCATCAGCAGCAGCTGAGATCAAATTGAGAATTGCTTATCAGAGCTGAATTAATATAGCAGAGGTGTTATCACTAGGCAGTGATAACATATCTTGTCTGCTCTACTTTTAGCTCATCCATCATCCACCTTCATCTTTAAAATGTGAAACTGTATAAAGCAATAATCTAACAGAAATTGCCTCCTCTGAATGATTTAAACTATCTGGCGCTGAGCTGGACTTTGTTTTATCACTTGTACTAATAATTTGTGTCATGTTTGTGGAAGGAAACCAAAACATAATGTAAGAATTGCATAATAAAAACAACCACAGATGGAAGGACATCTACTTGAAAGCGAGTTTAGCTTCATGAATAAACAAATAAAACCACAAGTTCCTTTGAACTGTAGAGCTTTTGTACAAAGACAGAATATGGTTTACTACTACTTCCCTAAAAAAAATGAACTGATTCATTTTATTATCCTTTTCTGTCAGTTTCTATCTACTTTCTTCATCCATCCTTATCTGGCTTTTATCAGAGAGCAAAGAGAAAGACATAAAGAGGCAAAGCAAACAAGCAGTCATAAGACATGCAGAGAAAATTAGTTGCATAACTTGGACCAAGATCATTTTGTGTCTGATTTATATCTAAGCGTCCCACTTTTATTTGATAGGGACAGCACTGAATGGGAGCTACTGTTCCCTGAATTAACAGTGTTTCACCCTCAATGAATTCCAAAAAGGGCAAAAGAAACCCAGCTGTACAGTAGGTGAAACGGTCTTAGCCAAGACATGCGGCGTACTGTCACATGTTTTCACTTTATGTTCATTTTCACTCAGTATGGGTGAAAATATACATATTTTTACTTTTATTTTTCACTATGTAAATAAAATTGCAACATCCGCAAGTAGGATCAGTGTTTAAGGTTGAGGAGTGTTGTAGGGAAAGCAAGGGAAAAATACCCCTCCACAGGCCTCTAAAACAAACCATGAGGAAAAAACCCTGAAAGTGGAGCAAAAAAGGGAGTTATTTTACAGCCATAACAAACCATCCATTAAAGACAGTCGCTGTCATGTTATAGGGTCCAGTTCTGCTTGAGCTTTCATTTCTTTTGTGCAGACTTGAGGAACCTTTTCCTCAATCAAACAGGATTCTTTAATGGTGAGTCTTCTTAAAGCCCGGCGTACAATGTGTGATTTTCAGGTCGATTTTCCAGTCATGCGAGAATCTTTCGCTCAGGCTGACTTCAGTCGTGAGCTATGTAGTATACAGCGGTTTATGAGCGGCGATCAGCCTCTCACAACCTCCTCCTGATCAGGAATTGGGAGGTCTGCAGAATATCAAACATGTTTGATTTTCTCCCCAGCGTTGTGGCCAAATCGCTCAGTGTGCATGTGCAAAAGAGGATTCTTCTTTTTATTCCTCCTCTCAGATGTAAACACAACAGCATGGCAGGGATGCAAATGAGTGAAATGCAGCTCCGTTTGCAAAATTGACGGACCGCAGCAGCTACGCCTGCTCAGCCACGTCCTTTTTCCAAATACATCGTTGCCCTTTCTTTCTAGGACCCTCAGCACAAAATTGCACAAGTTGCCGAGGTAGCGCAGTTCACTATAGTGAGCTTAATATCCCCCTTCTATTTGTTTGGATTCAGGATAGAGAGCTACAGAGCAGCTCCATCTCACTGCAGAGCTGAGTCCGACGTGTTTTCTAGACGTACAGTGTGAGCAGGCAGATCGCATCAGAGCGTCGGGCCGAACATAAATTGTGAGCTGTGAATTCACACTGTACGAAGAAACCCTGCTGTTTCATCGTACAGAGTTGTAGCTGCGTGCAACGATTGCAAATATTGCACAGTATATGCCTGGCTTTACAGCAAAGCATTTCCAGACTATGACCATTCAACCTTTGTGTTTCGTATGAGGTTTACATTCCTCTAATTGGTTTACACCAATCATGTCCATTGTACTAGTGGTCAAATAATACAATTTTAGACTAAAGAAAATTGTTCTAGGTGAAATCAGCCATTGGTAGTGCAAATATGGGATTAAATGTCTTTAATGGAGGGAAGAGGAGCACTTATGATCTTCTCTGCTGCAGCCTCAACACCACACAGTGAGACATCTGGTCAGAATGCTGACCAACATTCTTGTTCTTGGGATGAACTCAATAAGGTTGCAATACCTGGGAAGGTTGGCAAATTTTTCAAAGCCCCTTACTTCAGACTAGCTGATTTCATTTCATTTTTGGGAACACTTTAAATGTCTCACCAGCAGTGTTGGGGGAACATAATAACAGTGTTGCCTTTCAGTTGAAAAAGTAATCCAAATTAATTCCATATCAGTAAAGCCATTTTAACACAGAGTTGCTTCAACTCAATCAACCAAAGTTAATTTTTTCCACTGCAGGGATGAGCAGCCGAGAGCCTAAGTGACAACAATGGACGGTGGGCATATTTTTAAAACAGACTTAGAGGACAGACGATGCCGTAGAGCCACTGATTCAGTGACAAGGGATTCAAATAAATTAAAATTGCTGCATGAAGTGAAATTTCTATTCTACTAGGTTTCATAAAAATTCTAAATGTCTTATTAGGTTAATATACATTCAGAATTTAGGAATTTTACTTTTTTTTTTACTTAATTTAGGTTGAAATTACAGTTTTCTATAAAATCTGAATTAGACTTTAATAAGAAAAACTGTTAAATTCAGCTGTAAAAATTTGAGTATTTTTTTTACATTTGTTTTGAAAATAAAAACTATATATGAAAACTGGGATCCTATCTCAATACCACTGATTGTATGTTTTTAAAAAGTTAATAAAACAGAATTTGTAAAGAAAAAAATGAAATAGATCCAAAGGATCTATCAGTAACCATGTCTGTTTCAGCGCATATTATCATTAGAATTTCTTTGAGTATTATGTCTTCAGTATAGGGGCCATAACAGGGGCCAGGACTTGATCTACAGGGGCCCTGGCCCCCTTTGGACCCTGTCTAGAACCGCCCGTGTTTTCACTCCTCTGATGGTAAGTTATACTGAATTAATTATACTTGATTTTTTTTCAGGGATGTTGATTTTGAGGGGTAAAAATAATCCGCTGTAGAGAGGAGAACATCGGTCCCTTGGTCCGTGCGTGCTTTGCGTGTTCGGGCTTTTCCAGCTGTGGGCGCAGACCCGCCCACTCATCCAATGAGTCCGTGGGGGTCGCGCAGTCTCCCCGCCTGGGATCGACCGGCCTGCGATCCAATGAAAACCCGCTGAGGAGTGACTCACCCTCTTCCGCTTTCCAATGAAAGCTCGACGGAAAGGCGGGCCACAGGAAGCACACTTGGTTGAATGGTCATCAGAGCGACAATCAGCGGCGGATCTGTTTGTGATGCCACGCTCTGATCGGACACCGAGGCGGTTAGGATGCCCGATCTATCACCGAGCGGACGCTCCGTCAAACGCCCGTCATTCTCCAGCTGCGCACCAAGAGTCTGCAGCTGCAGGGCCATTTAAGAGTCTCCCTCTGCAGAGGATCTGAACGGTGATGGACAGCTGTTGGTCATCGATTGCGCTTCGGGGCTGATGGTGAACTGCTGGCGCGGTGACACATGCTGAGCAATAGAACAAGACTCCCACAGGAGAAACAGGATCGACTCAGCTCTCCTCTCTAGTCCGCGTGAAAGGATCGTGATGATGATGATGATGATGATGCATCGCTTTGTCCAAACGTGTGGCTCCTACAGCCGTCATGACTGAGATGTTTAAAGAGCACAGGTGCGTGGAGATCGCAGCTGCCAACATGGGAATCAGCTTTCTGTTTCGATGCGCATCAAAGGCGACCACAGCAATACAGGAATCACATCCGCAGATGGGTGTAATGGATTCACGCTATAACTGATGGTGCTGCGCTATGATCTCCAGGGACCCTCTGAGTTGTGTAATGCGTTTATTCCATCTTGAAGGCGCGCTGCCGTGCAACCTCTCCATGGATGAGCTCTAATTGGGCCCAATGATGTAGAGCCAAATCCACCTGGAACAAGCGTCACTTCTCCCCTGTGACTTTTCATGCACAATTGATTTCCTCCTTCTTCTTTTTTTAAATCCCCTTTAATCCCCCCCAAGTTTACTCCATAAAATAATTAAATTTGCGTTTAAACGTTGGGATCTGATTTTTTTATGCATCAAGGACGTTTAGTTTGTTCCCAATGATGAACATTTCAGTTCATACAAGATATTTTAAGCGACATTTTGTGACTAAATAGTCCTGACTTTCTTTTCTTTTCTTTTTGGTGGAACAAAACTTTTTTGGTGTGTGCGCGCATCTGTTTATTTGTTGCGTCATCCACAATGTCCAGATCAAACAGCGTCAGCCCACCAGGAGTCGGTGCTCCCGGGTTGAGGGGAGGGACCGAGCACAGATCAGCATGGGTAGAGGCTGACTCTGTGGCCAACGGGTGCCCATACTCGGCCAGATCCCCGCGCAAGAAGCTCACCCGCACCAACAGCCGCTGGAGGCAAGAGGAGGAGGCGGAGGATGTGGATCCGGAGCGCCGGCCTCCCGGACGAGCCTCCACCACAGTCAGCAGCAGGGTCAGCTTCAGGTCCCGCTCGGCTTGGCAGGATCATGGTGAGGAGAGCCGCGTTAACAGCAACCTCGCGTCTGGGAAGCGTCCTGACGGCGGCGAGGTGAGACCCAAGTCCGTGGAGCTGGGTCTGGAGGAGCAGAGAGCCAAATCCCGGAGCGATAAGGGGGAGCAGGAGGAGGAGGTCATGCCGGAGGTGAACTTCTCCCTTGTGGCGTGCTGCGTCGGCGTCATGCACGTTTTTAAATCCAAGAAGTTCCAGTCGGAGAAGTTGGAGCGCCTCTACCAGCGCTACTTCTTCCGCCTCAACCAGAGCAGCCTGACGATGCTGATGGGAGTCCTGGTGCTGGTTTTCACCGTGATGCTGGCCTTCCACTGCTCCGGAGCTCCCAGAATCACTTACGTGGTGGTGTTTTCCCTGGCTATCTTCATCACGCTGGTGCTCATGGTGGTCTGCAACAGGAACTCTTTTCACCAGGACCACATGTGGGTGGTGTGCTATGTGGTGATCCTGCTGGTAATTGTGATCCAGGTGATCGGGGTGCTGCTGGTGCAGCCAAGGAGCGCCTCAGAGGGCATCTGGTGGACCGTGTTCTTCATCCATGTCATCTACACCCTGTTACCCGTCAGGATGCGGGCGGCTGTCATCACGGGGGTTATTCTCTCCGCCATCCACGTGTGTATTTCTTGGATGTTAAACGGAGTGGACAACTTTCTGTGGAAACAGGTACGTGGATTGTGCTCGGATTGAATTTTACGCGGTCATGCGTAAAGACGCAAATGAGCCGAAACCTCCAATTTGGTAAATGTCATGCGCTTAATGTAAAGTTTGATCAAAAGGTTGTGAAGAACAGGATGCTTATAGGTGCAGATGAATTATTTTAGGGTGGTATAGTGATGCTTCTTTGGAGTTATGGGATAAAATCACCAAAGTAAGCAGAAAATTAAGAAAAGTTACTGGAAAGTTGAAGATGACTGACTTTTCTGTTCTGCCTTTCTTAGACAAGCAGTTTGAGGGACACAGACTTCAGTTTCTCTCTGGTTATATGAACTCTTATATGAAGTCTTGGCAGAAAGTGCAGAGGTTGTTATTATTTGGAAAAGACAAATGCATTTGGGAGTTTATGTCAAAAACAACATAGAAGTGATCGCCCTATCTTAAAGGAAGTAGAGAACTGCTGAATTTACAAGGTGAATTTACCATCTTAAAAATGTACCTAACTGCCTGCTTGAGTCAGCTTTTTAGCCCCATTTGAATCACCCTTCTTCCAAACCTGTGGGTAATTATCGAATTAAGATTTTACTTTGCAGAGTTTTTAAAAAGATGTGAAAGAAGGGGTTTTATATTTATGAAATATTTCTCATTTTATAGTTGGATTTTAAAATCTTACTCGATTTTTATCAGACTAGTCCTTGGTTTTCTTTTTTTATTCAAGACTTGATTTATCTTTGTCCCCGTGTGCTACTTAAGCATTTTTATAAAGATAACACTTGTTTATAAAACTTAAGTTTGTTCCAGTCTTCTGTTCTAGGGTCCTTTCTTCTTGGGAAGGATATAGAGGGTGTATGGTGGGAAGATCTGGACTTTAACTCGAGAAGAAAATTACATGGAAGTTTAGCTATTGTCATTTTTTTTTTTTTATAAGAAGAACAGATAATTTCTATTAGGTGAATTTTTGAGGAAAAGTAATCAATTTCTATGACCTTCTTCTCCCCAAACCGGTCGTCTGAAAGCAGAAAGCTTTCTTTCATTATTAGCACTTATGTCACTTTTGAGGATGTATGCAGATGTGAGCAGAGTTTTGACATTTGTTCTGAAAATATTAAATGTTTAGTTTAACCTTAGCAGGAATTCAGTGGAGGTAGCACATTTTTAACTTCAGTTAGTTTAGGATATTTCTATATGTGGATTAACATGGAGAGCTGTGAATTCTCTTAATTTGATTATCTGTGGATGAATGGTTTCATTCACACTCTTTGTGATTTCAACTAAAGATAAAGTTGGTCATGGTATCATGAGATCAGAATAGAAAAAAAAAAAAACAACCCCAGACCAAACAAGACAATAACATGTTCTTTCCCCTCTTTGCCTGTTATAACCTGCCTGTTTTTTCAGATGAATCAAAATTTGATCAAAACAACCGATTAGTGTTACACATATTTGCCTTCATCGGGTTAAAAAAAAGAATGTGACCTTTTATTTTAAAGCGCATTATCCTCGTTGTCTTTTTAACCATTTTATTTTGTTTCTTTTTACCATTGCAACAAAAATGGCAGCTTATGCCTCTGGTAATTTCTCAGCCGCTTGATGTGGAAAAAGCCATAATTCCAAATGGTAACATAGACACAAGGTTATAGTTGCCAAATACACTCTGGGTTATTAAAATCTGAGAACACCACTCAGCTGGAAGGCACAGTAGAGGCAACATTATGCTTTGGGCATGCATTTGGGGCACAAGGTATAAAATAGATGTTAACAGGAAAGAATATAGTGGTAATGCCAAAGCAGCATGTCTGCCCAGACATTTTGAAGTGGAAAAAGAGTATTTGTGCAAAGAGCACAAATAATTATGAAGTGGCTTAATAAGATCATACATTTATTAGAACGGCCAACACCTTATTAAAGGTGCTGTATAAAAAGGTATGTTGTAAATATTAGCTACAACCGTCAGCAGCTGTCCTGGCTGCAGTATAAATGAGTTGTTATGCAACAGTCCCCATCACTTAATTCATCTATGTATTGGGAGTTCTGCACCGGCATTGGTTACACTGTTCTGTCAGGAGGAATGGGCCAAAATTCGAGCAAACTATTATGAGGAACTTTACAAAGGATACCTTAAATGTTTGACCCTATCATAGACTTTAAATGGCAATTCTACAATGGCTTTTTATACAGTGTATGAAATGTCTGGTTTCCTCTTTTTTTTTTTTTTTTTTCACGTAAAATACTTATTAATTTGAAAGAAACTCAGGCCCCGTCCACACGTAGTCAAAACGAACACGAAACGCTAATATTTTCCAGAATGTTTGTCGTAAAGACGGAGACGTAAAATAAATGTGATCGACCACACGAATGCATGAAAACGCTGCAAAATGTATGCCAGGCCTGTAAGTGGCGCTGTGGTGCCAAAGCAAAAATAGGCGAAAACAGGCAACGAAATGTTAGGCATGCGCAGTAATATTTATACAACAACCAAACCGGAAAACCCCTGCGGGTCCATTTTCGTGGTTCAGTCAAATTCAGGTGCTGAACTATGTCGTCGATATTGCTCTGTTCTTCCTGGAGATATTCCAGAAGAAGAAGATTCTGTTGTAAGCCCGGCAGCAGGGTGAGTAGCATGAGCAGCAACCATTCAACACAGTACGGCGCCATAGTTGTTGTGATACTGTGTGGCGCATGCGTGTTTAGAGGCTACGCTATGACGCATGCGTGTAAGAAAAAAATGCGGTTAGAGCTTAAAGATGGAAACGCGAAAACGGCGTTTCAAAATCTTCCCACTCTGAAGGCTGAATAAAAAAAAGATCGTTTACAGACCCCCGAAACGCCGGCTTCGTATGGATGAGAGGCTGGTTTGGTGAAAAATTTGTGCGTTTAGGCCAGGGTTTGACTTTGTGTGGACGGGGCCTCAGTAACTCGGTATAACCTCCAAATAGCAAAATTGTTGGGGAAAGTCTTTGTGCCAAACAGTATTCTATTTTCTCTTAATTGTATTACATTTCTTTCATACATTTATAGAGGTGCATAACTTCAGCAAAGTGTTAGCTGCTAAATTTTCTTATGAAATATTTCAGTGGGCTACTTTTGAACTGCTGTGTTAAAACAGTGATACTATAATAAAAGTAATGGTTGGTTGTTTAGGGGCTATACCAGCACTCCAACTACCCTTTAATCCCATAGACAGTTGTTTATTTTTGGTAGGTGAGAGGCTAAATCTCAGAGGATGGTAAAGAAGAATCTGGACAATATTGGTTCATCATAAACAAAATTTTAAACACGTTTTACAGTGATGGTTTAAATTAGGGCTGCAACTAATGATTATTTTGCAAATCGATTAATCTGTTGATTATTTTTGGATTAAGCTGATGAAGGTTCTCAGTCATCCAGGTCATAGTCATACCGTAAAAAATCAAAAAATATCCACTGGACTTGGTTTACAAGATTTGAAGATGTTTCGCCAGCTTCCTGGAGAGGTGGCGAAACGTCTTCAAATCTTGTAAAGCAAGTCCAGTGGATATTTTTTGATTTTTTTTACGGAATTTTTGGATTAATAGATTATCGGACAGCAAAGGCTCCTTAGGGAAGATTTTTTTTTTTTTTTTTTTTTTTTTACCAAATCAAACCAGTTGAAAATAAAACTTTTCCACTTGAGGAGTTCTAGATAGAGCATTTTGACAGATGAAAGAGTTTTCTTTTTCTTAAATGCAAAATGTTAATATTTTCTTACTATTTTGGTATAATTATTAATCTAAGTGGGTCGCTCTGTCTGCTAAAGGCATGTTTTACAGTCTCTATACTCAAGTTAACAATTAACCGATTACTAAATTAGTTGATTATTTCAATATTCGATTAATCACTATTCATTGTTTCAGCCCCAGTTTCAATGCCTGAACTGCTGTCAATTAAGCAATGGAGAATCACTGTAGCCTTCTTTAGGCCAGCTGACTGCCAGTGCCCAGCAACAGTGGGCTTTTGTCACTCTGTCATTTTCTCTTTAACTTGTACTATTGAAAAGATCTCATATTTTAAGTTTTAAAACCTTGATGTTTTGAACCCTTGATTATTACAATGAGCCCAGGCCTAAAGGCTGGTTTATACTCAGAAACCAAGTCGTCTGCGTGTGTGTCGCAGTTAACGCAGATATGCCCCTGTCCCTTCCGCAGACACTCTGGTGCACCTCTCCAAACCTGTAGGTGACCCACAGTGCTGCAGAAAGGAGGCCTCTAAATGGTCAAATCTACATCCACTCTACACTATGCGTATTTTCTGTTTGGTACCTTACAAGCTTGTTTTGTTTGTATGACTGCCATTGTGGAAAACGACTGGGACCCTTTTTCCACCTGGATCCCCGCTTTTTTTCGCCCTCATGTCCCTCCGTTGTCGCACAAACTTGCCTCTATTACCTCACCGCCTCGGCTGTACAGAGATTGCAAAAGAACTCACTTTCCGTACTTGAGTAAAAGTACAGATACTTGTGTTAAAAAATACTCTGGTAAAAGTGGAAGTACTGATTAAACTTCTTTACTCAAGTAAAAGTAACAAAGTACAGGCTTGTAAATTTACTTAAAGTATAAAAGTAAAAGTAGAAACCACTTTTTTCATGCCGTTGCCTACATTTTAAATGGATGTCTGCCAATAGGACTAGATCTCCGTTGTGTTCATTTTCAATCATCTCGTCGTCCATACTACTATGCTAACGCCACCGCCACCAAGCTGCAATGATTTGCCACGAATGAATACTGCCGAATCTGTCGATTCATCTTGTAGTGGTGCATCAAATGCAACGTAGATTCCCATCCAATTAGATTGAATTTGGTATTGATGATGTGAAAAATAATAACGGTAACTCCATTGAAATGATTCAAAACTAAAGTAACAGCAAATTTTTTAAAATGTAAGGAGTAGAAAGTACAGATATTTGTGTAAAAATTTGAGTAGAAGTAAAAAGTCGCCATAAAAATAAGTAGTAAAGTAAACGCACTGCTGCATGAGTATAAACAGCCATTAAG